GTATTTATGTTGTTGTTGGAAGTATTAATTTTTGTACACCTTAGTTTTTGTAGCATTTCCTATTGAAAAAAATCTTTTCAATTGTTTTTTGTTGATCATTGTTATCGACAGATTTGTAGACTTTTTTTTTTTTTTTGGTTACAGTCAGCGTTGCTGGTAAATAAATCATAATGAAGAAAATGAATTAAGAAAAGTGAAAATGTCTGGTGGAGAGAAAGAAGAAGTAATAAATTTTGCAAAAGGTTGCTCAGCCAGTTCAGTTTATTATTGTTGAAAAAAAATTTTTCAACAATGAAGAAAAGAGAAAAAAAAAAAAGCAAAAGCAAAACAAAGACTTTTTCTCTGTTTTTAAATTTTAACTATACATATATATATATATTTTTTTTTTTTTGTTGCATTACACATAGAAATTATTGATAAAAAAAAACTGCCTATTTTAAGTAAAATTTTTGAACAGCAATTCTATGCTTATTGCTTTTTTTTTTTTTCTTTAGTACCTTTCAAACTAGCATTAGTTTAGCCAAAAAAACCCCAAAACAATAGTTGTGAACAAATATTTCTGATTACAAAAAAATGATCTTTTTTTTTTGGTTCTCTTTTCTTCTTCTATTAACAATACGTTTTTCTTTGATCTTTTTTTGGTTGTTGACAGCACAATAACACCCAATTACTGTAAAACTATTTGTTGATTTAACCAACAGACGTTGAGAACGGTTACAACAACGCAACATCAACAACAACGACATTTAACTGATATCACCAGCAAATAGCAGCAAAAGGGATGGAGAAGAAAAAAACACTGAAAGATTTGTAAGAAAAAAAAAAAAGTTAATTATTTCAATTGAAGGAAAATTGTGGCATTACTGACATCAAAATCATTAACTAAGCACTCCCCACTTGGTTCGTCTGTCTTCATTTTCTCCATCAATTTTTTTCACCCTCTTTTAACTGTTCTTCTCTTCTTTTTACCTCTACACATCCCCCTGGTTTCTCAATCCCTTTCTGTTCACCTCTCATCCAGTTTCCTATTCCGCCAATAATTCTCTTTCTTCCTCTTTTTGCCAGTCTTCACCGAACAGCAGTTACCAGCGACAGCAACAGCAGCAACGACAACAGCAACAGCAACAGCAGCAGCAGCAGCAGCAGCAGCAGCGGCATCAGCGGCAACAACAGCACCGATACTGTTGATATAATTGCATTTCTGTCAACAAAAAACGGCTACATCTTACGTCTCCAATCTTTTACTTCTTTTACTTCCTATATCTATTATTCTTCTGGCTGTAATCTGTTTCATTTTTGCTATCATCTAAACACTTCGGTATTTAAGGCATTGAGAAGAAAAAATTTAAAAAAAAGGGAAAATTAGAAAAAAAAAAACTAAACAAAAAAGACAAACCTGGAAGAGTGGAATAAAAATGTACAGTTATTTTTTTTTCTTTAGTGGCAACTCATTTTAAGCTATTGTTTAAGCTAAGAAATCAGATAAATTTGCTGTAACAAATAACATTTTTTGTTTGTTTATCTGTTGTTAATTTCATTTTTTAGCTTAATTTTTTGATAGCAAATGTAAAAGAATAGCAGTGTGAAAATGAAAAGAAAGATTTTTAAGATGAAAAAAGGAGAAAAATTTTTCTTACAGCTTTTTTTTTTCTACTAACAACTAAATAGTAATAGAAAAAAATAGGTTTTTTTTTTGTAAATGTAAAAAGGAAAAAATATACATATATATATGATGAATGTGTAGTTGTTTTCACTGATTACAGGGTGCCACATCGTTATTCATATTCAGCGAAAATAACATGATACGGCGGCAGTGTAAAACAATCATTGAATGGGGACCATTCGAGTACTTTATCCTGATGACAATCATTGGTAACTGTGTGGTACTCGCAATGGATCAACATCTGCCTAAAAATGATAAGAATATGCTTGGCGAGTGGTTGGTTAGTGAAATTTACACTTTTTT